AGGTAACAGGAAGAGGGTAGGAGAAATTTATATTTGATTCACAGTATGTCAGAAGAACCCAAATATGTAAAACTGCAGGGGCTCCAATACTTAAATAACACATGATATAGCATCCAAAACACAACAGCATATTGGCAGGGATAGTGAACAGATCATTTATCCCAATTAAAACATAACAAATATCACATGTTCTCTCCAAACCAAGCACTTAACACCAACACCAAAATAAACCCCCCTTATGACTAGCCAAGTAGTAAACCTGCTGCTAACTAAAGGTGGGTGTGAGAAGTGGCTGGGGGAAGAAGGAGCATGGTTATACAATTAGATGAAGGAGATCACAAGAGACCTTACACTGACTTGCAGGATGGACCCAAGTAAGTTACACAAGTGAGCATCTCTGGCTCTACCACTAGGATCTGCCCTGTGAGTCTAACCAGACTGAGTATAATGCCTTCTCTATCCAATATCCCAACGTCCTAGAAATCACACAAGGTAGGCTAATCTGTATTATTATCCTGCTTCTGAATGCTGTGCTTGAGGTTGAAAGGTGCACTGATCAGAAACTGAAACACTTGAGCAATTCCCCACCAGCTCGCAGAGCAGTAGCCAGCAAAGCTCACAGTAGTTGCTCACCTTTGCCACTGCGTGCCAAACCTGTGGAAGTTAAAACACCAGACATAGCTTTTTAATGACTCAACAGCCCAACACACTATTATCATCTCTTTCCAACACGTACTGTATTAATGGCTTTCACAATCACTACATGACTCACAGGTACTCTCAGTTTAAGTTTTACAGGTAGCCTTCAGTATCACTGCTGAGAGTTTAACCCCACTTTGTATTCACAGAAACCAAAGTACAGAGGAAACAGGGAACTGGAAAAAAAAAACAACCCTAGGATAAATTAGAAGGAAGAAACCCCACATCTCTACACTGATGCTACTTTCCATACTGAGCCATTCTCTCTCTGAGCTATAAGCATCCCAGACAGTGCAGAGAGGCAGCTCTCTTCAGACAGGAGGCTGATAACCACAGGAGATGTTATAAACCCTTGGAACCGCCAAAATATCAACAAAATCTCACACAGGCTGAAAACTATGTCACTTCAGGGGTTCCATGAACAACCTGAAGTAACTGTCACAATAGATTCCTCAAAGAGCAACCTTCCAGTGAGGCATGAGAACTGTCTCTAGCATGTTTTCAGTGGAAGGAGAGAGAAAGAGGAAGTAAAAGGAAAACAGGTACATCCCACTGCCTTGAGCAGTGTGCCAGTTAGCAATTTGACAGGCAGGTAAGTTATTTTTATTGTAAGAATTTATACATTGAGAAAACTGTGCAGGGACTCCAGAAATATACCCGATTTGAATGCAGAGGGAAGGTCTATGTGGCATGGAAGCTGGAGATGCTGGCATATGATCATATAGAGTGGAGAGAAATACCCCAACTGGAGAAAAATACTGTTTTCTCAGAATAGATCATCATGACAAGTGATCTCAGGTGTTTCACCCACAAGACTGAATGCCTGAATACTACACACTTTCATCATCTTTCACCTCTGAATTGATCTACAGCCATCCAAGGAAGATGCTGGTACCATATAAGCATAATCATTCCAAAAGCAGCAGCAAGAATCTTAGCAATGAAGGACATAAATCACTTGTCCAGCCCCACAAATGAAGCAGCTAAGATGTGACAGAACACAGGATCTGTCTTGAAACAATTCCTTTTTGGTTCCTGCCCCACTAGGTCCCCAGCATCACTGCTGCCCTAAGCCAAGAAGCTAGAATCATTTGCGGTTACTGGAGGTCATTACCTGTACACAGGCTAGAAGAAATACCGCAAGACGACTTTATGTATCTCACTATATTAAAATGTTTTTAAAAACTAACCTACACATGGTGTTAAATGTACCAAGTATGTCACCAAATGTTACAAATCAGTGTAAGTATTTATACCAACAGTATAGAATAAATGACAATTCATACTCCAAATGCTTTGACTGTCTCAAAAAGCAAAGTTCATTTTAAACTGATATCTCTTCTAGTCAACCCCCTGAAATATTAAGGTATCAGTTACATATAAAAATATGTGATTTGTATTAATACAGTATTTAACTAAAAAGGTCAAATATTATGATTAATTAGGGTACATTTAAGTTATTTCTTGTGAATGTGGAGTCTACTTGTAGTCTGGGGAAAAAAACCCAGCATATGTCCTGCAATGCACTTTCAGCCTACCTAGTTAAGTAGTTTATCACAAATATGCTTTAGGAAGAAATTAATTAGCTCATTAGTTTAGTTAATAGTTTGCTTGGCCCTCCTTTGACAAAAGTGACATTTTAAAAGAGCATATTCTGCTACTTCAGAAAACAAAACCCCACATGACAAGTTTCAAAGAACACCGAGTACAAGCGACACACACCACCAGGAGCTGCAGAATGTATTAAGAGATTACTATTTCTCTGGTAACAATTAAAAATAACTTTAAAAGACCCTAAGAACATCTCAAAGGTGCAGCTTCACACTGCAATAATTCACAGGTTCTGAGAAAAATCTCTCCTTTACCAATCCCTGAAATAATGCCACAAATAAAAGACTACTTCAGGGCAAATTGCGATCAATCCAAAAGCTGTTTTAGTTTCTTACTATCATGATAGTGTACTTTCTGATTTACAAGCACTGTGTGTTTTGAGGACTGCAGCAATTTCTTTCTGTGTTAAAATAAACCCTACACCATTGCCTGGTAATCAATCACCTGCCACATCCATCAGCTTTTGCATTCAATTTGCTAAAACAAGGGACAACTGTATAAGGATTTCATGAACATAAAGGCTGACAGAAAGCAATGAGAGCTAGCACTACCCAAAATCACCAAGCCAGCCTTCTTACCTTTCTGAAGCTATTAGTTTGGCAAACTAAGGTCCTTTAATGACATTCACCCCACCCAAGCCTGTTTTTCTCATCAGAATGACCCCGCCTGTTTCCTCTGCACACCACAGGCCTCGCTGAGCGTCTTCATTGTTCAGAATGCGCTTAAGGAATACTAAGAATAACCTCGTAGTTTCCATCCCCTCCTTCTATGTTTCCTTCAAAGTATGTGCCTGCCACTGATGTAAGGTTTACCTTAGAGAAAGGTTCATGGTTAGAAGTTATGCTCCTAAAATGTGATACAGATGGGAATAGTTAGTATTTATTCTTTTAAAGCATTTTCCATACCTTCATTTTGTAGTTCCCTCTTTACTCTGTCCCTTTTAAATTGCAAGTAGTGCTTACAAAAGAGTTTGAATTAACGTCACCTAACAAGCTTAACACTGGTACAAGCACTATTACAACACGTTTTCACGTCCATGGTCAAGCAGCAATGCTCTACCTATCCAGTTCCTAAACCACTTCTTCAATCTGCCCGTAAGTCTGTCATGTCAACAACTACAACACTGGGGCCTACAGTACAGATACATGTTTGTCAGGCAGTATTTGTCAATCACCTGCTTGTTTCAGAAAGACAAACTAAAGTGTCTGCAGATACCCGCTGCTCTCCATCACTACCAACCTAAACCAGTTCCATGTTAGTGCCACTAAGATGGAAGACGCAATATGCCAGAACTCGGAACAGAGTACCATCCAGTCCTCCCCCATATATTTAACTGTCAGAACCAATTTAATATGGTATTTTAGAAGGATTTATTAGACATCCCACACTGATACTCAGTGACAGGTGAGGAATCAACATGGCAAGGGGTGGACTTGCTGTTGGCTGATAGAAAGGCTTAGAGCAACCAGAGTAAGAGAATCTGATGCCCTCTTCTTCTTGTGGCTCCCTACAACGCTGAAGACCTACGTCCACAAAACCACAGGGTTTATAAAATGTTTTATTAGTATTTCATCCACAGAATAACATGCAAACAAGTAAGAATTACATCACAAAACCTATTCAGATTCTTCTCCGAGTCACTCTGCACAACACAAGCGCAGAATTCAGCAGCCATAAGGCACAACAACACAAATCTAAACAAGTGAGAGGTGGAAAGGATAGAAAGTTCACCCTGTGCACAGCACAGGAAGACCCTTTCCCAGTCTCTAGGAAGCAGCAGAAACAAGTATCTTTTCTTGCCAAAGGGCTGGATTATTTAAGATGCAAGAAAAGTTGTATCCAGCATCTCCTACCATTTTAAACACTGTAAGTAGGTTTAGAAAAGAGGAAATATGTACAAATACAGCGTGAGGAAGAAGTAATTCAGAAGATGCTCTGTCCATCTATTTTATTAGTACCGGAACAGAAAACATCTTCTGAAGTTCTCAAGAAACAAAAAGCTGAATACCAAAAACCTCCTATCAAAACACTAGCATTAAACTGTTTGAAGTTAATTTCTAGCCTTAAGTGTGGAAAAGAAGAACTGACAACCTCCCCCAGTGAGGTTTGTAGGAAGTAACAGTGCACCTGAACTTGTGCAGCACTTCACATTTTTTCAGTCCTCTATAAACACTGGCTGACACCAACCAACACAATAAGAGCTTCCTAGCATAGTTTATATACAAAACCATCAGACCAGTAAAACAAATACAAATTGATACTTCTGAAAATAAGTAAACAAGCTTACTGGCCATTGGCTGTTTTACAACCAAACCTGTAAGTTTAGCTTTTAGTTTAAGTCCGCACTGTAAGAGAACCTGTGTAAAAATAACCTGTGTGAACACATGAGGAAAAATGACACACACAGACACAAGAACACTACATTTACTGTCTGTGAAACACATTAGACATATGTCATTTCAAAACTGAATGGCAGGGCTTCAGCATTTCAAGAAGGCATTGAAAAAATCCAAAGGAACAAGATCTTTATGTAACGGCATCACAATGTATATAAAATGCTCAAACACAGGTTATGTTCTTTGACATTATTTACAATACAATGATCTATGTACCATCAAAAATAAAAAAATTGCCAGGCTTAATCCTGATTTAACCTCACCCTTAATTATTAAAAATAGTTAAGCACTTACCATAATGTGATTGAAATGCCTGTGGTTTTACGACCTGATTACAGTGGTTACACATCACCAAATAGAAATCATCATGAGCCGGGCAAAGACCAAATATTGGCATATCTAAAAACAAAAAGACAAAATGGCATCTCTCAGCTGCTGACAATTATTGAGAAACAGTTTAATTACAGAGCCATGACACTAGTGTTGAACCGTAACTGTAATACATTTGTATCAAATTTGAAAATAAGGAAAAAAAAAAGAGCATATAATGCAAGAGATAATTTTGCATTGGAGAATGACAAAGGCAAAAATCTTCCTACGATGGTAAATGTAAAATGAGTGATTACTTGTAGAAAACATCTATTAGGAAACTGATTTAGGACTGATTATCTTATACCGGATGTAAGAATGTAATAAAAAGAGACTGACTTTAAATGACAACCACAACATCAGAGGGGATGTTTTATGTATTCTGAAAGAGGTTTGGCTTTTATTCCAATTAAATTACATAAATTTAAAAAAAATGAACTTTATTTTCTATGTAGTTGTTTTAAACCATTTTAAAACACACAGTTGTTCACCAGGCACTATTACATGCCTAATGGTTTTATTTATTTAACAGTGCATTATAGTCCAGCCATCTGCTGCCAGAGATCTGTGTAACAGCTATGGAAGAGAGAGAAATAGAGATAACAGTATGCCAGAGCATGTGTGGATTTCAGAGATAACACACATACTTGCAGACTTTTCCTAATAAAATTAGTTTCTACCATTTTGTTTTTAAGACTGTAGTTTATGAATATAATTTAACAGTTCAAACTGCATTCAGAGACTACTGGAGCACTAAATACAAGATTTACTACATATCTTCAAGGTATATTACATTTATAGAACTAAAAATTATCTTGAATCACCAGAAGATACAAAATAGGAAACTGCAAACATAACAGTATAAATTGTTGCCAACCTCGTGGCTAAGGGATCTACAGCACTATTTAAAGGTTTAAAACGGATATGAGAAAATTGAATTTTCTTCAAAAGAAATACCCAAATTATAGATTTATCTTAACAGTAACTTAGAAATTAAGTTCAACTTATTTATCTTAATGCTAGAATTGACATCAGTGCTTTGTTTTACAGATACTAATTTGCCTATGTGTATTTTTAACAACATCCATATTTTTGCTCATTAACGGAACACCAATTATGATACAAATTGAGCAAGCTTCATTTGAAGAGCAAATGTGCCCTAACACAAGGTAACCACTGGCAGAACTACACTGTCAGCCCCGCAGAGCCCCACGGACACTTTGTTTCTCACAGACAAAAGAATATATCCCCATGGAACAGCTTCCAGAGTGAAGGGCTCCCTTTGTAGTAAGAGTCTTCATCATATTAACTACTTTTGTTTTAAAAATAAGATTTATCCCTGGTTTTCCAAAAATATTGTTAGTGCTACATGAAAATTGAGCATGATTCCTGCAATAACAGCTGCAACTGGATTTTGCCGCTGGATGCAAATACAATGACCATGGACATCTGACTTGGCTGTGACAGATCAGAGAGCTACACTTCTCTAAGTCACAGTTACCTTTTTGCAACTGAGCTTACATTGAGTAAATAACTCTGATTCGCACTTCATTAAGTAGTGACTCTTGCTTATTTATTTATATGATATTTATTAACAGAAGTATGAAGACCTCAGGCACACCTAACTCAATGCAAACTAGGCATAACTAGCAAATATATGCTGGTGGGGAAAAAAGAAAACAGCCAGATGGGAATAATAAACTTCTACTTTTCAATATCTACTTTCCGTGATGTAATATTAAGATAGATAAGAAAAAAAAAGCGTATAAACTTAAGTGCTAATATTTCATGCAGGAGCTTTTTGAGTATGCCTCTGTAAAACAGTTTTCACAGGGCAATCAAATACTTCCATCTGACTATTCACAGGCCATGATGAATGGGACAATAACAGCACGCTGCCTGCTATTTACACAGTTAATAGCACACTGAGAGGCTGCTACCATATAACATCTAACAAACTGTAAATCCACATCCTGGTACCTATTCCCATAATCGTACCTTTCAGACAACACTGGGTTCACAGACTTTACACCAGCCTGTATAGCACGTGGGGAGTGGGGGAAATTCGCTTACACCAGAAGAGGATTGCCTACTTCTGCATCTCTTGGAAGATAAAGCTCTCCTTGACACTAAGTCTGAGACATCCCACTTTCTCTTTAAGTACCCTTCTATGAATATTTGCTGGCAATAAAGAGATGCAATTTTAAACAACAAGTGAAACAAATTGGCAAACTGATGGAAACAAAAATGTTTTTCTGTTTCAGTTTGGGGATCCCAAGAAATGCCTGATTCATGAGCGGCCTTTACACTCTGAAGCACATATGTGGGGTTTTAAAACCAAAGCTCTGAGTGACAAAGTAATGCCAAAATACTAAGAAATATATAAACTCATAAGTTTACTCTAAGAGTAAAACCACTTGACAGAGAAATAAAGGATTTGCTGCACACCCAAAATCTTAACTGTGACTGCAAAGGAAGTCACACACAAGACTCCCAGCCAGATCACAGTCATCAATGTAAAAGATCTTCTACCCCCAGTTCCCTCGTACTATACTGATACAGATACTGACACTGACATACAGCAGCATCTAAATGTAACCAGTGAGGAAGCAGTGATGGTTAGAGTCCTAAATGCAATTCCTTTTGCTCTCTTGTATGAGGTAAAATAGCCCACAGCTTTTCTATTATTAAAGCATTTATTCAAAATAGACATGATCAAATCTTTTTGTTATGGAAATCGATAGGGCCCAAGTAACACCAGAACCTGATGATGCCAAAGCGCTGCATGAACACATGAGACTAGCACCTAAGGGTCACAGAACAGACACCAGTGGGCAAAAAGTAGTATCAATACTTCACCTGAACTAGTTTTAACAAAGGGTTTGAAGCTATAAGGAGTGTGACTCAACCAAGATTGGCTAAGACAAACTGCAAGAGACCTGAATCCACACTTCCCAACCCAGGAGCCTCAGCCTTAGGCACAACACATCCCATGTGTTTCATGTGCTTCACTATCATTTTAGATGAGCAGAGAAAGAGCAGGTCTCAGGAAAACCTTACTTCAGTTTGTGTTTGAACAGGGCGAACACCTATGTGGTGCTGCTGTGAGACTGACAAATGAGACCATGCAAGTGGCAGAGGATAACAGAACTTACATAATAAGCACTTACCAAGAGGAGACGGATGCCTAATTTTTCTGTTCCTCTCAACCACTTGCAAAAGTTCTCAAGTCTTGTGGTTGATATTCTAACACCTAATACTTTATACCTATTTCATTTAATGATGTGCAAATTCTCTATTTAAAAGTCTAATGAAGTTTATAGTATTTTGCCAGTGTCATTTCATATGCACTGTTCCTCCGAGTTTAAAGATTACTTTTTGAAATACTTTGCTGTACATGTAAAGCCTGTGCCTCTCAAGGAAGAGCCTAGCAACCATGATTCATATGTTCCTCTTTCAAAGCTGGGCTCATTTAACTCTCTCCATCTGGGAATGCTTTTCAAGGTCAAACTAAAAATTTAAACCAAGTCCTCAAACTTTCCATTTATTTCTCCATAAATGCAGTATTTCTGCAGTATCGATACAAATACTATTACAAGGGCTCCTAGTTATGTTAATTCTACTAATGCCATAAAGAAAAACAACCTCATTCACCTCCACAATATGAAACCTCTGAACATTGTGACCTCCCCAGTTCACTTTGCCTTTCAAATGTAACTTACTTACAGTGGTTTTAAAAAGGTAACTTTATTTTATATATTGCTCTACTGTTTAGCAAGACTGGAACAAGCCTGTGCCATAGGCAGTTCTGAGGTATCTTAACTGCAGTGTTTGTTGAGCATGTAATAAGGAAAATGACAGTCATGTCCTCCACAACCATAAAGGGTAAAAGAGTAGAAATATATTACTTTTATTACTTTAAGAGGATCTGACAGTACCTGGGACAAGCGTTATAGGCAAATAGGATAACTGTTAGTTAAGATACCTTGTAGCGTTGTTTGTGCAGAAAGAGACAAAACCTCCCCAAAAGCAGTGGAATTACTATATTTAAGAGCTTGTGATCTGGAGGCATGGAATGAGGACGGAGAATGAAGCACATGAAACAGCAAATCCAGGCAGGTTGCAGAAAGAAAGCTGAGCTTGGTTACAATCAGACCAACTGCTTAGAGCCAGCCCAAACAGCTAAAGCTCTGCCCAAGAAATCTGCACACTGGGTGTGAGTCCTGCTGCACCTATGGCTGATGTCAGTTGTCAGTAGCAAGCAATCTTCAGGTGCAGGGAGGATCTCAGGTCAAGCTTTAAGCAAAGTACATTGCTTTAAACAGTAGTATAAGGTATTGTAACTCAGTTATCTTACGTAAAGCTCCCATCAATTTTAAGTTAAATAATGCCTTATTTAAACTCATTAAAAAGTGATCTAAATTAGCAGCTCAAAATTTACCTTTCATCCACAAACACTTCACTTCCTGCAACTGAAATACTATTTTCTACACATTATTTTCCCAAACTGTTTTCCAGAAACACTCAAGTGCTTATCATTCATGAACACACATGTGGTTTTGTATACTTATCAGTGTTGAAGTGAAATTAAACTACTGGCAATTCTTTTATCATGTACCCTGTAAGATGGTAATAAGAAAAAGAATATTCCTAAGCAGATAGTGTGAACAAAGTAAGTAAAACTAACTCAAAGTGAATATTCAGAGCGCTCTGGTTCGCAAAAGTTTTAAACCAAAACAAGAGATTTCTAGTAAAATATACATACTTTAGGGTTTTCTGCAAAATCTCAAGTAATGGACATTTATGTATTAATAGAACACAAGTATTTTATGAACCGTATGTGCAGGCCTAACAAATTTGTGCTTGCAAAGAACATATGCATAGTCAAACAAACCCAACGTAGGACGATTAAATTTACACACCTAAACACTCTTAAAAACGTGCCCCATAAGGTTTTTGCTCATGTTGCCTTAGATACAAAAGAACCCTTTAATACAAAATAAAGCAAAACAAATGGACATCCCCATACC